GTCTTGGTCCATGTATACATCCTTGTAGGCACAAGTGCTCTATGCGGTGCCTCGGAACGAGAGTGCCACCTGTGGACTCCAGGAGATTGCTGACACGGTACGCCAATGACTCATTCTTCCTGACGAGCGCCACCGTGTGTCATTGTTTGCTCCTGGCTTTCCTTGGCCACGATATGTCAGCCTGGATCGCCGTCCCGATGCCTTCCTTGGATTTTGCATCTCCCACAATTCATGGCGTATTCTTGCTACCCCGCTACCACTTGCTGAACGGAGCACAGATTGCTGGCGCCTTTGTCGAGGCAGGGCTGGCCGAGCAGCAGCATGGCGCCGACAGTGTACTTCTTCATTGCACGATCTGCAAGACCTCGCGGGCCAAAAGTGAGTCTGCAGTGTGCCTTTGGGTCAAAGGCGGGACCTCTGTGTGTGTTTTCTAGCACCTCCATCTTGTAGAGCACTGATCGACCAACGCGCGCCTCCGCTTTGTGTGCTCTTAGAGCGCGTCACCTTTGATGCCTCAGCTCTCCTGGATGTCTGCAAGTCGTTTGACTTTGGCAAGCGTGAGATTGCAGAGGTCCACCTCTCCAAAATGACCCGCTCCCCTGGCAGCTACTATGAGCCCGAAGGCTCCTACCCCTTTCGATAAGAGTGTCCTTGAAACCTGAAGTTGTTGACGTGATGAATTTACTCGACATGGTGAGGTTGATCATTCTTTTCAAGCAGTCGAGCACCAGTCATGCTCGTCCCCACGCCGACGGCATGCTGACAAATACGCGAGAGAGAGAGAGCGCAAGAGATCCACACACGTAAAAGTTTACTACATGTAGTAGTTTTTGAGCCGAGGAGCGCACGAGTGGTGGCTGATGGAGGCCGGTAGCATGGCTCAGGTTCAGGTCCGGGTGTAGAGCTCGTTGGGGAGTCGGGGCAGGGGTATTATCGTCAAAGGCAGCATGGGTGAGGTTCGTCCACTGCGCGGTCCGCTGCATTACGGTGACAAGTTACAACGGCATGAGGGACAGCAGCTCGAGCTCAAGTTGCGCAGTCAGGCCCAGCCGTTTCAGGCGGCTGACACGGCTGTCCTCTACATGGTCAGTGAATCGCGACACATGCACGCGCGTACACGCGCACGGAAGCGCAGACGGGTCAACTCCCGATGTGTCGATTGCAATGCAACCCCCATCCGCCTTGCACCCCGGCCCATCGCGTCATGTTTTCCCTCAGGGCGACCCTCATGTGCTTTGATGGATGCCCGCCTAGATTGCGTTTTACAACGCAAATCATGACGGAGAACTACTTTTTGGTGTCACTGATGATGGCATCGTCGAGGGCCTTGAATTGCATCCAGACCCAAATAGCTGGCTGGACAACGCACAGCAACGGTGCGTTGGCATCGTGCTCAGCCCCTCGCACTCTGCTTCATTCTCATACCAAAACTGATTCAGCCACGCTCACCACATTTGGGGCTACGCACAGGTTCCTTCGCAACCTCGAACGCCGGGCGTCACAAACCATGGATCCCAGTCTTTGCCATGTGGGCTGGCATGCTCTACCAGTGGATGGCACCCCGAAAGGCGTCGCCCGCCACGTCGTCTCCGTGCGCCTCGTGTGGGCATCAACTGAACGCCCACAGCACCTGTTGCGCCTGGATGGGCGCGAAGGCTGGTTTTGGCCCCTTAAAATGGGCAACACCGTCCAGCGATTGGATCGCAAGGCCGCAGAGGCTCTATGTCGCCAACGTGGCTATGCGCCACTTTCTCCCAAACTCCCCATGGATGTGCCCAAAGCGGATGGCACACCAGAGTTGAGCAAGCGGCCCCAACTGCCCAGCCCACCTCGTGCGAGCGATTCCCAGCCTGCGCCAGTGGCAGAGAAAGAAAAGGTCGCCGAGTTGCCCAATCCGACTTCCCCCAAGCCCGCGCCCAAACTCGTCTCCGAACCTAAATCTGGCACGCCAGGCCCGCGGGAGCCGCGCAGCAAGCGCCGGGGCCGGCAACAGCCGAGCAAAAATAAACACGATCGCAGCACCAGCAAAGATGGCAATGACAACCTTGCGCCATCCGAGCCGTTTCATATCCCTACATCCATTTTGGGGAGTAAAGAACCTCCGCCAGCACACCCTCCGTCCGGCGTGTCGCCGAGCATGCAGCGGCTGGGCGTGGGCTTGACGAGTGACTTGGTTCGCTTGCGCCGCCGGCTGGAAGAGAGCGAGGCTGAGCGTTACCGACTTGCTCAGGCCAACCGGGCTCTGGCCGCTCAGCTGATGGAAGTCCGTACGGCCACCGAGTCGGAGCACCGTGCCCTCGCGCAGCAGCTTGAGGCATACGTATCCGATCAGCGAAGCGAGGTCGCATCGCGTCAGCATCAAGAAAATGCCATGCTTGCTGATTTGGCCAGTACAAAGGAGCGTGAGCGTCAATTGTTGGCGCTAACTGCCAATCTGCGAGCCGAACTTGCCGCCACGCAACCCGCCGTGGCATCGTTGGCCGATCTACAAAAACAGGTGCAAGTATTACAGGTGCAATTGTCTGAGGCTGAGGCGAGCAAGGCTCGCTTGCACGCTCGTGTGACAGATCTCGAGGCCGATGACGTGGCGACGGTGGCTGTGGTGCACGACTTGCATCAGAAAGTTGAGGGCCTCACCGAACAGCTCGAGCAAGTTACCGACCACCGGGAGCGACTGGTCGCTGAACTGGAGCGCCGTGCAGCAGTTGATGCGGACCGTTTGTCGACCCAGAATCACGATCAAGCTCAGGCCCAAGAAACGCAGCGGCGGCTCGAAGACGATAATCATCGATTACGCAACCAAGTTGGTCAACTCACACATCAACTCGAGGAATCCCGGCGCCAGCTGCGCTTGTTACAAGAAGAATGCGCCTCGCAGGCGCGGCAGATCGCCACGCTGCGTGCCGTGCAGGCTGGTGAGGATGATGGCGACAACCTCCGCAGTGAGCAGCTTCGAGGGCAATTGCAGCGCGTTCAACAGCAGTTTCAGGAGCAGCGAGCTGCGCTACAGGCACATGCCGCCCATCTTCAAAACAATCAACTCCAGTACCGACGAGGATTCGAAGCCTGCCTGCGCCAATTGCACACAGCCTGCGTCGTGCTGCAAGTGCCGACAGCTTCGTCGCCTCCCGGCGCCCTCGAAGAGGGGTCCAAAAGTTCGGCCAACATTGAATGTGACAGGCTTGATGACCGCCTCGAGTGGTATCAGTGCCTTTTGCGTGATCTCAAGTCAATGGTCCAGCAGGAACGGACCAAAGCACAGACCGAGTCTCATCACTCACAACAGCAGCAAGCGGAACACCAGGTTAGTAGGCGTGATACTTCCTGGCTGCCTGGGTTCGCGCACAGGTGGAGCAATTTCGATATTTTGCCTTTCCTCTTTGGGTGGCATACCCTCAAATTTCGGTGCAAACGCGTTCTCACATTTTTTTTTTCACGTGGGTTGATTGGAGCAGGAAGCACATACTCGTCAGATGCAGCGTGTCAACGCTCTCAAGGACGCCCTTCTCGCACAGGAGAAGGAGCAGGAGGAGCTGCGATCTATCATCAATTCGTAAGCTGGCTCATCTTGTTGGAATCACCAGCCAACTCTGCTGTGTTGCTGACAATAACGTTTGTATCATCAGGTCACAGGTTGCAGTGCAGCACAGTCTGACCATCTCGGCACAAGAAGTTACTGACACCCGGTCTCAGCTCTCTGCCATGGAGGTATTGACTGAAGCTGCGATGTGAGAGGTAATCGTGATTGGTTCAGCACCGCGCACTGATCGTTGCAACAATGCGCAACCAATTTAGAGTCGATTAGAAAATGCTACCGGAGAACTACGAGGCGTGACTGAAAAATTGAAGGCGAGTGGGCTGTGTTTGACACTACCTTGCTTTATATTTGGTATCTCGTTGGACCACCACACATTTGCCGCACATTGCTTTGCTTCTACGTGTCTCGCCAGTTGCCGGTCATTTGATATTCATACCAAAATTTGTGTGCAGGACCGCGAAGACCGACTCGAAACTCTTTGTACGGCCATTGACGAGACGGTCTACGCGTGTAGCCTACAACATGAGCTCTTGCGGTATGGCGTCCCGACCTTAGGCAATGAGTGTATGGTTGGCGCGACCGTGCACAGCGTGATATGGGCTGATTCCGAAGGGGTTCATGCCTAGACATGGCAGGGGATCTCACGCACTAGGCGGCGTCTTTCCTCACACTGCGCCGGTTCTTGTTCTAGACACGTCAGTGGCATGGCTTGGGGACCCAATGTCTGGGATGTGTATCCTCAGCTACTGGAAGCTATTCGTCACAGCTGGCAAGCGCTCCAGAATCATGTGGTGGAGCGAGAGCATACACTGGTTCAGCTGGAACACCACGCTTCGGCGCAGGAGGTCGGTCACGTCGCCTTGCCATTGGTGGCCAACATGTCGTTGTTCTCACGTGATGTTTATCGCTGACCACGACAGCAAGAGCTTGCACGCCTTTCTGCTGAGCTTCAACTGACCAAGGGGCTACTCCACGAGACACCACAACCGACATTTGTTCCACAGCGATGCGAACAGGCTACACAATGCGATTGGCACGATGCTCAAGCCTTGAACGTAGCTTGCCAGACTAACGATCAGGTTATATCTGCTTGTGAGCCGCAGCTGGCTCTGCGTTACTATAAGCGGTAGGTCAGGAGGCACGCGCGGCCCAGCTGTGCCAGGCCTCTGCTCTACTTGGCCCTCCCAACACTCATTTATGCTGGATTGAACTGCACATGGCTGGGGGGTAGTGTGGTGTTGGCTTTTGCGGAACACTTGTTGGCTGGGACGGCCCTCGCGCGCCAGCAGCTGGGCCTGACTCTTTCGCGGGCACGACTTCGGTGGCAGGTGTGTTGGTTTGTGCCATCGCCGAGGCCATGGTTTGTCAGGATATGCGAGACTCATCTCTTGTCGCCATGTGCGATGTTTATTGCCACGCCTGGCACATGTTAGCGAGCTGGATGGGCCGTGGTGGCATGCATGCGATTGGAGCGACAAGGTCGTTTGGCTCGTAGCTTGCGCAATGATACCGAACGGCCAGTCACCCGACAGTTGTATTACCGCCGGACTTTGCAGGTGTCTGGCCACTGGCTAAAAGCACTCGAGAGGTACGGCTGCAGTCATCCATTTGATGATGCATTGTGACGGTCTTATCCCTGAGCTCTTCCTGATTGAGGTTCTGCAATGTTCCCGCCCACCCACTCTTTGCGTTTATTTTCTCCATTTGCGGCTCATGTGGCAGGCTACGTCAAGAGCAGGTGACTCAGGTCAAAGCCGAGGGCCAGACTGCCTTGCAGACGGCTGTTAAACAGAGTGAGCAGGCAGAGCTTCAGCTGAGCGACGTTCGCCAGGTCTGGGATTCTGCTTTGAACCCAGGCCCCAGCCCGAGCCTTCCGAGGCCGCATCGTCTTACAAAGCACATGGCGGCGACCCGAGCTAGAATCTTCAGGAGGCGCGAGCAGAGTTGGCGCAATGCTTGGCGGAGCGCGCGCGCCTGCTTGAGAACGTTGCTCAGGTATCAACTGCAACACTCGTGCTGGAGGCTGTACCATCTGCCGATGTGGTGTATGATGTTTTCTGCCGTTCATGGGTGAATTGTACCAACTATAGCTTGAGGCCGCCGTTCAAGGCTGTGTCAGCAGGAACGACGGAATGCGGTTGATGATGGAGAATCAGGAGCTGCAGGCGTCGTTGCAATCCGCTTCTGTAGCCAACCGTCGGCAAGATACCATGCTTCAGGTAGAATATTGAGCACCTGATGGCCGCATCTGCGTCGTTGCCACCCGTGTCAACGTCGAAGTTTGCACATTCATATCGAGGCCTGGTGTGGCAATGATCGTTGGAATGTGAGGGCTTACAGGAAATGCAACGTCGCGTGGAGTTGGCAGAGCTTACCCTTGCTGAGGAGCAGCGCGGCGCAGCACGGTACCGTTTACAACTCTATTTTTTTCCCAGGGTAGTTGTGGCACAAGCTGATGGGGTCGATCACGTCACTATTCACACAGGACCGTGGAAAGTTTGCGGGAGGAATTGGCAACTGCCAAGGACACGGTGAGTCGACTTTGGGTCTCCATATCTGTGTTCGTGCCCGCGGCCCTGGTTTGTTCCTTTCCGGGTAGGCCTTTTACGGAATTCAGTTGGCACCCAGCAGTCTTACGCCGCAGCGGTCATGTGTTTGTGTTTGCAGAGCGAAGCGTTGGCCCGCCGAGTCGAGCGCCTCGAGCAACAGCGTTTGCATCTCGTGAGCGAGCTTCACGCGCTATCAGTTCGCTAACGCATGTGAGCCAGGCGAGCTGAGCTCGTCCTTGCGTCTTCCATTGTTGGTCTTTTCTTACCAAATTCATCCGAAAGAATGGACACGCACTGACTACCTTACAGAACCGTCGTGGCGTTGACTCGGAAAAAAGTAGCGCTCTTAGGGGATGCGACATGACCTTCTGCACCTTCCGGATGTTAATTAAATGCCTTTGAGTTTGATTTTGTTCATCTTTGGTAATTTTTTTTTTCCATTTTTCAACTTTCTTTCATCTCTGATACCTGCTGGAGGGCTGTTTGGCGGTGTGCTGGTGGTTGCGCTGAAGGCGGCGAGTGTGCGGTTTGGTGTTTGCGTTGCGACAACAGGAGTGCTCTTTATGGTTCAAAGTTTGGAATGGGAGCGCACGGTTGTTGACACCAGCATTTAAAATTCTCACTGGATAGACCGGGCGACTGCAGGTCTTGGAGCCGTGTGCAGGGCGGGGTTTTAGTGCGTGGTCCTCGAGCTACCGGCAGCGCTTGGCAGGTGGTAATAACGGGCGTGGTGGGGACAGTCCACCATGGACGCGAACTTTTGTGCAAAGGTTGCGTCAACGGATTTGCTCGTGACACTTGTGAGTTCCAACGAATGTCATGTTCGAATCCAAAAATGTCAAATCACAGCCTCGGATGGCCATCCTGCACTCAAGGCCAACAAGACGCTGCGCCATTTGGCCATTGAGTACACTGTTTCGCTACTGCAGACCCTGCAGACGCTCAAGCCCGACGGTGTGCGCTGCATGGTGACTGCACCTAGCGCCAAGGATGCGACGACCGTGCCGGTGCCCCTGCAAGCTGGTAACACGGCGCTGGCCGCCCTGGTCCGCACCTCCGAAGAAGATCTGGTCTTTCCACCTTCCGCACCTCAAATTGACCTTCAAGCTCAGCTCGAAGCTGCTGTGCAGCACTATCAGAGGGACCTTGGCGAATCCCGAGACGTGATGCCGAGTCAAACCAGGCCTTTGCTGCGCTGGCTGGTGGTCGTTCCCGTGACTGAAGCCCTGGACCAACCGGCAGCGGTCGTGGACGTTGTTCGCAATGTGTGGGCCAAACTTGAAGAACAGAACGCTGGCTCGGAAAAGAGCTTGCACCATACGACTGTGGTTCTTCTCCATCCGGGCAGTGATTCCAAAGTCCTGCCTTTAGCCTCAGACACAAAGGCACGCGTACTGTGTGTGGCCGTCGCAGGTCTGGCCGCGGCCGAGCAAGCCATGCGGGCCGTATATGCCTATTGTGACTGTGAGCATGTGGCCATTCGCTTGAAAACGTCGGCGCCAGCAGACCACGTCGATGCCAGTGGCGAGGATACAGATGATCTGGCTCATTGTTTGGTGGCCGGGCCCGGACCGCGTACGCCACGAGCCGTATGCACGCCCGTAGGCCCACTCGAGCAGCTGCTGCGCGACGAGCCTCTCCAGGTGATCTCTGATGTCAGTACGGAAAACATCCGCTTGACCCGTGTTTTACGGCTGGCCGTATGCGGACCGTCCAAGGCCAGCCGTGAGCTAGATTCAGCCATGCGCAAGTGCAAAAGTCGTGGTCGAGGCCTGTTTTTGCAGCGACGGGGGTCCGAATTCTTCTCACTCAGCGTGGTTGGAGATGGCGAGTTGTGCCTCTACTGTTATGAGCTCATGCCGCCGCCGCCCGGTTGTTTTAAAAACGCCGCTGAGTGGTGCTCGTCTGATGCCAAGCTACGGCTGCAGGTTGGTTTTCCGGTTCTTGATCATCTTTGGTGTTTGCCGTCTGATGTATGATCCCTTAAGCCGCTCATTTTTTGCGCTGCCGTCGACTGCTGGTGTAGGCAGCTGGACAGCTGATTAAAGAAGCTACCCTCCAAGCCGATGACACCAGCGTTCAGGTCTGTGTGCCTTGCTTTGTGCTGACACTGTCTTTGAAGACTCGCTGCTGTATCAAATCCTGGCGAGGACGCAGCCGCTCACACATCTGTTGCACCCCTCTCACCTTCTGTCCTCCAGCGCGCGCGCGATTGCATCGCCCATCATACCTTGTATTTTCCCCCCGCTTTTCGTGACAACGGGCTCTTTGCTCAGCGTGAGGTATGAGAGTCTTTCTCATACATTCTTATTCTCTCTTCTCAAACGACCAATGACCAAGGCGCCTAACACGAGGGTCTGCACATTGGCTCGTGGGATTATATGTAGACCAAGCTTCGTCGTTATGCCGATGCACTATTGGAGGCGGTCTATAGTCGTCATCTCACGGATGAGCGCTTGGAGGCTGCGAAACGGAGCGTGAACAAGTTTGTCAAGGCGCTCGGCGCCAATTCTTCTCACCACTTGCCCGGACTTAGCGCAAGTGAACGGTACGGCTGTTGTTCCACCCATCGCCACCAAGTGTGACAGCTTTTGATAAAATGTCGAGTTCTGTGATTTTGCCCCGTGTGCGACAAGGGGCCTCACCCTCTGATCGTTGGGATCATCTGCCTTGCAGACAAACAGAGTATATGCGATTGTGGATGGAGATGCGGTCACTAGGCAGCGCTTTTTGCGACGCCTCGCCCAACCATCGTGCACTTGCCGACTTTATTCGAAGTTGCCATTCAGATGTTCGGAACAGCACAACATCAACTCAAGCAGCGCCAGCCCCCTCAAGCGCACCAAGCGCCAATCCTGCAGCTCCTGTGGCCGCCGCCCCCGGCGGAGGTCCGATCAACCCACAGGCGGGATCATTTAGTGCGGCGCCGGGGCCGTCTTCCAGGAATGAAGCAAGACCCAGTTCCGTGGCCTCTGCGGCGACTACGGACGCGTCGACTGCACCAAACAAGAACGGGAAGCGTGCAGCTGGCAAAGGTCCCGAGCGGACCGCTGGTGGTGTTGAGGGCCGGCCGCTGGCAAGTGGGCGTGGTTCACCAGCACGGCAGAGCAGAGTGCCCCGCTCACCAAAACAAGGGACCGAGACTGACGATGGTGAGCCAGCTCTGAAACGCAGCAAAGCAGCGGCCGCCGTGGCTCGAAGCAGCAATGCAGATGCGCCGTCGGCCAGGTCACGGGGGCCACCCAAAGTCAAAATTCCGCCTGCAGACCCGACGCCATCAAACCCGGTTCAAAATGCCAACGCTACTGACACTGCACATGAGCCTGCTAGTAAAGCCTCGGGCAGCAAGGCACCGGCGAGCAAAGCTTCATCTACCAAGGCCCCCACAACCAAGGCGTCGACTAGCAAGGCCCCAACGACCAAAGCGTCTACCGGCAAGGCAGCTACCAGCAAGGCGTCGGCCAGCAAAGCGCCAACGAAAGCATCAAAGGCGCCCAAGGGCAGCAAGGCTTCGCCAGTCACAGAAGGAAGCACTTTGGCGCCCGAAGATGACAAAGCACAAGTTCAAGCTCAACACGAGCAGCCACCGGAAAACCAGCAGCAGCAGCAACAACAACAACAACAACAACAGCAGCAGCAGCAGCAGCAGCAGCAGCAACAGCAACAGCAACAGCTCCAGCAGATGGCCTTTCTTCAGATGATGGCCAACAGCCTTAACAACGGCACTGCTGCGAGCGGAAGCCCCGCCGTGTCGATGCCCGCCGGCTCAGCAGCTTCAATGATGCTTCCCGGTTGGCTGTCCATGCCTGGAGTCTCGGCACCAGTCATGCATCCTGGGATGATGGGAGGCATGCCATTTATGATGCCGAACCAGCTTCACGCTTTCATGGCTATGCAGCAACAACAACAGCAACAAGGCCTCCCTCAAACTTCACAAAGCGGCATGCCGATGCCGCATCCAGCCATGATGCAGCAGATGCTTCAGAACATGGCCAGTAGCAGCAGTGCCCCCTCATCCCAGCCCAGCTAGCAGACATGCCAGTCGTTGCCTGTTTGTATCAAATTATAAAGTATTGTGCCTGCATCATCTTTTTGAAATCGTTGCCATCTGAATTCCGACTGTCTACCATCTCGAACAAGGGAGAGGGAGGCGAAAGCCAAGTGAGAGCCTGGAGCCAAGTGAAAGACAAGGAAGGCGCCAAAGGCCACTGGGGTGAGGGCAAAGGACTTTGAATTTTTTTTACATCTTTTTTTCCAATCACTTTCAACATTGCGCAAGAGGAAAGCAACAAAAGGTTGTGACGAGTTCCACTCGTGAGATGGCGGCGGCGGCGGAGACGAAGGGTTTGGGCTTGGAGGGCACAGAAACGGCAGTGCGACCGGCCACACTGGCAGATCGAGATGAGATTCTGGGGGAGCTCTCTGATAACATCTATTCTGGTATGATTCCCTGGCCGAGCAAGTGCAAGCGGCGAGTCGGACGGGAGCTCATGCGATCCACGTGCGTGCGAACACTTAGGTCACGACTACCTGCCCCATGTGCTGACCCGTTGGCTGCAGCACGATGAGCATCACTGCTTTGTGGCAGAGGCCCCCAGCTCGGCACTATCCGGTAGATTGCGTTATCCATCATATCAAAAGCAGCGCCCTTTGTGAAAAGGCGTGCGCCCTTGGGCGAATCATCACGGTGCGGTTGTGGCTGGTGCTTCTCTTAGACCAGACCTCGAGTCTTCCCGGAGTGCGCTGCATCGTAGGCTTTTGTGCTGTTGGACTTTTTGACGATGGCACGTGAGTGACGAAATTCCTCCAGGCCTGTGCGGGCTCAATAGTCGGTCGTTGCAGTTGTGTGTGCTCACGCCGGAGCTGATCTTGGGCCAGGACGGCCGTCGTTCAAGCATTGCGAGCACACCCTCGAGCACGACGCCTCGGCATTGGACGCAGCTTAACGGAATTTGCCGTGGCCTACGCCGAGCACAGTTTGCCTGGGGTGAGTCTTATGCGTGGTGGGCGGCTTCTGGGTCGTCGTCTTGGGCTAGGCCCGTGCTGTGGGATTAGCGGCAGCGCTTGAGCACACAGGCACAGTGACGATCGTGGGGATGGTGGAATCGGTCGATAGGTGGTACGGGTGCGATGCACGACTGTACATTGGCACGAGCCCGTCATCAAGCTGCACCAGCGTTTGGGCTTTTCCTTGCGGACGGCCTTGGGTTATGCCTCTCTGGCGTTGCCGGTCCCCTTTGACCGTCGAGCCCACGCCCAGCCACAGCTCCCGATCACGCGGTTGGTACCATCGATCAAGCTGCTTTGTGCACAAATGTTGGCGCGCGGTCCATCGGCACGCGTGATTTTCTGCTTGCGCCGTCCTTGATTCTCAGCTGTTTACTTGCCACACAGTTGTTTCGGTGCAGAGCTGTGGGCTTTATTGGAGACGGGCGATCGCCTGGCTGCATTGTGCCCTCATGGTCTCTTGCTCAACAACTGGGAGCCACACAGCGCTCTGCGTGTCAACTTGGAGCGCCTCGAAGAAGATGAAGGTAATGTCTCCTGTCGTTTCCGTCCCTCACAACGCCCTGAGCGCCCCGTGTATTGGTGGCGGCGTTCCTCAGATGCGCTTCCTCTCTGTTGATGTGGTGCTAGGCATGAATTATGCGTTTATGCTTCAGACGGATGCCCGCACCTTGCGAGCTTTTTCAATGTCTTTTATTTGTCCCCGCGTCAGGTTTGTTGTTGCATTGCATTGGCACAGGGCATGTGTGCACGCGCATCACACGAGACAGCACCGGTCAAGTGTGCTGCTGCTTATGGCTCGCGTGCCACACATGCGCAACTGCAGTGGGTTGGAGATGGTCGTGGCCGTCTTTTGCGAGGGGCTAGACCACGCAGCAGTCAAATCTTTGGTGCATCATGCCGTACGCACGGCCTCGCATGGCTGCAACATGGTTTGCATCGATTTTCCAGGCGTTTTCTGGGACGAGCTGGACCCCCCTACCGGTACGAGTGTTCGATCAAACTTTTTTTTTTTAAAGTATGCCGTCGGTTTTCCAGTCACCGGGTTGTGTGTGCTTGGATCGGCTTAACAGGCACTGAACCAGATGATCGTCGGCCTCCCATCATTGCCGAGCTAGTGACCGAGCTAGGCCTTGTCGACGCCGACGGGACCAACTACGCCCACGGCCGTCCCATCGTCCTCGAGAAGCTGCTCTCCCATCAAGAAGCGCAATAATCGCATTCCTGTTCAAACAAGTTTTTTGATAAACGTCAGCATAATTAAATTTAATCTGACAAACCACGAGTGACCAGCGAGGCGGCAAAGTGTGATCAAAAGCACGCTATGATCGCAGTACTGTTTGTGAATTGAACCCTCGTGGTGCACTTTTTTGTCCCCTGGCAGGCCGTCAAGATGAGGTATGATGTCGAGGCCATGTGATATGCGCTGCGAGGTCGCCGTCGCCGTCCGACACAGCTTGGACGGTGGCCGGGTTGAGTGTGCTGGGGGTGGCGATGCATTCAGGCTGCCCTTTTAGACGGGATAGATGGGCTCGGGGGCATCGTGTTTGCATGTGCAAGGTTTTGCTGACCGCCAGTTTGGCCGACGCCGGTTGCTTTGTGTGCGAGTAGCAAGATTTCCCGCGAAACGTACGAGGAGGCCGTGAGCTCCCTTCTCTCCTACTCTCAGGAGAAGAAGGTGCGTTTTCGTTTGTTGGCAGCTTGATGTCATTAGTGCTACGCGTCTTGCGAGCCAGGGCTTCCCATCAGTCGATGGATGAGGCGAAGCCAAAAAAACCAAACCGAGCTGCGCGCTCACCACAAGGGGTTTTCGTCTTCTCGCTGGGTGTTTTAGCGCAACTTCGTCGAGAGCGTTGAGCTTCAGATTATGCTGAAGAACTACGATCCCTCGAAGGACAAGCGTTTCTCCGGCTCCATCCGCCTGCCCGCCATCGCGCGCCCCCGCCTGACCGTGTGCGTTCTCGGTGACGAGTCGCATTGCGATGAGGCCAAGGCCGCCAACCTGCCCTTCATGGACGTCGAGGCTCTGAAGAAGCTGAAGAAGAACAAGAAGCTCGTCAAGAAGCTCGCCAAGAAGTACGATGCTTTCCTGGCTTCTTCCACTCTGATCAAGCAGATCCCCCGTATCCTTGGCCCCGGTCTCAACAAGGCTGGCAAGTTCCCCACCTCGGTCTCGCACGGCGAGTCCCTTGAGGACAAGGTCAACGAGATCCGCGGCACCATCAAGTTCCAGATGAAGAAGGTGCTGACCCTCGGCGTTGCCGTCGGCCACGTCGGCATGGATCAGGAGGAGCTCATCCGCAACATTGGCCAGTCTGTCAACTTCTTGGTCTCCATGCTCAAGAAGCACTGGCAGAACGTGCGCTCGTTGCACATCAAGTCCTCCATGGGCCCTCCCCAGCGCCTCTTCTAAGTTGGCCTTTTTGGCTTGACTTTTGAGATGCGTGGTGCTGCTTGCTGGTCTGCGCTTTATCTACATTGTGGATGGACGCTGCCATAAGCAGTGGACTCGTGTTGTGTCGTGATGGTCATGATGTCATGCTCTCTGCTACTCCGCGCAGTGAGGCACAGGTAGCCTATGGACTCCTTGTGCAGGTACCATGTGGTTTTTTCATTCGTGAACTACCGCTCAAAACTACATGGGAGCGGGAAATTTTGCCCATTTCTCAGACCTGCCCACTTTTTTTCGGGTATCCTCATTTTCTCGACAATTGATGGACCCCCTTGACCTGTTACTCTGCGACACGCCACCTTTACTTTCCTTCTCTCAGCTCTGGACTCATTGGGAAACTCTAGCAGGGTGACGAATTGTCGACTGCAAAATTTAATGAGCTCATCAGACAGACAGCATGTTTGACAACCTACTCTGCTGGGTCGGATCTGAATTTTAAGTGTAGGCCTATAACTTCCGGTGGAGTCAGGTCCCAACACTTTGTTTGTTTTACATATTTGCAAAATTACTTGGCCTTGCGAGCTTCCTTGGCCTGGCGCGCCAGGGCTTCGTCACGGGCTTTGATCTGCGCGCGCAAGCGCTGTTGCTCCTCCACGGGCAAGCGAAACATGGGCATGATGTTGCCCGCAATCTTCCATTGGCTGCGGCTGTCGACGATGTGACGTTCCAAGACCTGATATCGACCCAAGCCATGAGTTGGAAAGGGGTGCTCTGTTTTCAATAGCTCTCTGCTACCAGGCTGGTAGCAGCAGGGCATCGGCCAAGGTTGCGCACACGTACAATGTATTCTGGGATATCGTTGATGACGGGCTGCGAGGCCTTGTGGTATTTGAGTTCCTGTATCCTCGACAGAGATGGATAAACTTAGAGGAATTTGAAGCAATGGTCCAGCCAAGCCGCAAGGCGTAGGGTGCAAGAGCCTCACCGTCTTGAGATGGAGCTTGACAGTAATCTGTGCGTATAGGTTCTCCTTGGAGTTGACGGGAATAAGATTGACAAAGACCACCTGTACCATGGCAAAGATGGGGCACTCAGCAGTGTGAGTATGTCATTGGGTAAATGCTGGAATTAAGCTCTTTGGGCTTGAGGCACGAGGGTTCTGACCTGAGGACGCTCGACAACTTCAAGCAGCTTCCATGTGTGTGGCTTGGAAGCAAACTCTGAGCGCAAGCGCTGCGGAGGTCATGACAAAAGCACGGCAGAAGCATGAGAGAGCACACTTTCTAAATGGTTTCAATCTGGCTTTCTAGATGGGTCAGATGGGGGTTCCATCGGCCAATACAAGGGACGCACAAGAGCACAGTCATCCGTCGCCAGGGTGCGCAGGGTCTGCTTGGACGGGTTGCTCCTTCAGGGCATGGAAAAAAGGCGGCGGTGAGTGCTAAAGACATGCTAAATGGCAAAGCAAAGGGGTTAAGGAGGGGCACAACGCCGAGCTTAATCACGACATACGAGGCAAAGCTCTTGGCGATGGCAATGTATTTGTCCTGAAAATGGTTGTTGGGGGCGTGTTTGCATGAGTTTGGGCGGGCGCCCGAGCCTCAAGTTAACGGCAGGAATCCGCGCGCACCTGAGCATCCTGGGCAAAAGGGATGGGTTGCCAATCCTTCTCGTTTCGTCGCAGCATGCCAGCGCTGTAGGTGCTGTAGACTCGCTTCTTGAGATGCTCCCAACGTTGGCGCAAACCCTCAGCCGAAAGCAGCGGGGCACTAAACTCGGCCGGTACGGGTACCCACACGTCATGAATCTGACCTGCAGCACACACGGCGTCCAGGTGAGACAATGTGACGGGTTTAGGCAAGTCTAGACACCTGTTTTACGAATCGCTGGGGAGGGTCTGGGTATCGGTGCGTCGTTGTGAAGATACCAACCCAGGTTGCTCTGTCGGAGCGCACTCATCATCTCCTTGCCCTCCTTCTCCATCATGGCCTTTTGGCCCTTGGATTGCTGTACATGTGCCATAGCTGCAATCAAACACGTACGAACATCAGGCCTCGGCGACGCTCGGCATGGGTCCAGGCGCTTTTGGGAGGCACGCAACAGTGTGTGCAACCTAAAAACCCAACTCGAGCCCTCAAGAACGAGCACACAAACCATTTTGCATGGACTTTTTCTTGCGCCCATAAAAGGACATGTGCCGCGCGCAGAGCGTGAAAACGGCGGGCGTCTGCAGCTGCAATGGAGATGCCAGTGTCGTGCCAGCCAGCACACGACGAGGCACCAACGCCAGTTGATGAGCCATCTTCCTCAGGTTGAATCAGGCAGGACCCGCTCCACTTTGAAACGAAAAAAAAAAGAGAGAGAGAGAGAGGAGAGAGAGAGAGAGAGAGAGAGAGAGAGAGAGAGAGAGAGAGAGAATGAATTGGTTTGATGAAACAGAGAGAGATTCGTGGCGGTGCAAGATGCCTTCAACGTGTGTGTTCGTTTTGTATGACAAAACAGCCACGAAGTATTTTACTTGAGCACATCACACCACCCCCTCCAAACAAAGGGTCCATCGTCTAATCTAATCTGGAGGGTGTTGTGGTTTGCATCATCTTCCTGTGTGTGTGTGTGTGTGTGTGTGTGAGTGTGTGAAACAGTTTTTCAGGTTCCAGGTGCTGCTGGTAGGTGCGATGCGATGCGATGATGCGACACGACGAGAGGAGGGAAGGGAGGGGGAGCGGTGTGTGTGTGTGTGTGTTGCAAGCAGCGATGTGGTGGTCTTGGGCAAGGCGGGTTTTGGGGATTGCATTGGGCGCTGCTGGGGGGTGGGGGGTGGGGCGGCGGCTTGGTCAAGGGCCCTTGTCAAAATGTGTGGCACGGGCCATTTTTCCTGTTGGCTGCCCGCCATTTCGTTCGGCGGCTTTGACCTCTGGTGCAGCAGTGTGGCCCATGGGGGTGGTGGGGATTGAGCTCGGTCGATGCTTGTCATTTACACTGCTTCTCACGGCACGTCCTGTTCGCCTTGGATCGCAGTTTGACAGCCCTTTTACTTTCCACTTTCATCCCTTGACGGGGTTGCGTCATAGCCCCATCCCTTCTGCTGGCCAGTTGGCTCGACGGCACTTGCCAAAATGATGGCGCCTTCGCATCACCTGGCCCTCACGGTCCTTGCAGTAGCCGCCTGCTTGCTCACAACGACCTGCGCTCAGCCCGAGCAGGTCCACATTGCGTTTGCCGGCCAAGACGCCAATGGCTACCCCACAGGTTGGCTGACCTGCAGTGCATCGGCGTTTCGACCCCGCATCAACCCATTACGCTTAATGGCACCGTAAACATGCGCCCCTCCTTGCCTCTCATCCCCATGCGTCTGGCGTTTCTGATGGTATCAATGTGAACCAGGTGTTTCGGTGACCTGGTACACGGCCAACGTCACGTCGACCAGCATCGTGCGCTACGGCACCCTCGCCTCGGGCTCGCTCACCTCACAAGCCTCAGCCACCACGGCCCCTCAAAGCTACCTGGACGGCCACGGTTTTCACCACGTTGTTCGCGTCCTTAACCTTCAGCCCGCTACCGAGTACATGTATCAGGTTGGCGATCAAACCGATGGCTGGAGCGATACCTTCGTCTTTCGCTCCGCACCCGCCACTTCGGATGTGCCCGTCTCCTTCGCCCTCTTTGGTGACATGGGCTATCTCGGCAGTGCTGAGCGTCCCATGGTTGTCGCCACCGGCGGGTAAGCACGCTTTAAATACCATGTTCATGCTGCAGTGCACCCGGTGAGCAAGCGAATCTTCTTGCCTGGCCCTGTTCATCAACCTCCTGCTTGCTTGGTTCGGTCGCTTCCCGCACCCCTCCGCGTGACCACAGCCTGCAGAAAAACTGGTCGGCCGTTCCCGTGCGCACCCTGCTCGAAAGCCTCAAGGATACCAAAGCCATCGATTTCATTTGGCATCTCGGCGATATTGGGTGGGTTCTTGGGCCAGGATGAACTGCTGGGCATGGCCTCGTGCCCTTTCTTCCGTCCTCGTCTCCATCCCTCTCACATCCTTCGGGTCATGCACCAACTTCACATGCCATAGCTATGCTGATGATGCGTTCTCTCACGCTCCTCTCAAATTCGGCTACGAGTCCGCCTACAATGGCTACATGAACTGGATTCAGAATTTGACTGCCACCATGCCTTACATGGTCTCAGTGGGCAATCATGAAAGCGAATGTATGTCCTGTATTCTGAACGCGCGGAGTCGGCTTCGTCCATGTCCTTTCATCAATGCTGCTCCACCGCCTCCATGGCGTTCCCCTTGCCTTCCTCCACTCCAACCCTTCTTCTTCCTTAATTGTTCTTCGTCGCCTTCGTAGGCCATTCGCCAGCGTGCGTGGCTGACACCAAGATTGGAAACGCTTTGCGCAATTTCTCCGCATACAACACTCGTTGGCACATGCCTTCCGAAGACAGCAAGGGTGTGCTGAACATGTGGTACAGCTGGAATTACGGGCCTGTCCACTTTATTTCTCTCAACACAGAGACAGACTTTCCGGGGGCTGGCGAGGAGAACACCGGCGACTCGCACGATCCCTTCATGCCGGCTGGCCACTTTGCTCCCGACGGCACCTACCTTGCCTGGCTTGAGCAGGAACTTGCGGCCGCTCATGCCAACCGCGCTCAACGCCCCTGGATCATTGCTGGAGGCCACCGTCCCTTTCCTGACATTGCTGTAAGCTAGAGTGGCTCCGCCTCTCCCGTTTTCTGTTACATGCATGGTTTGGCAGCGTGTGTATGTGCGTATGTGCGTGTATGTAGGCGTCTCTTGACTCGCTCTGTCCGTTTCTAACTTGCCGGTTGCCAATGTAGGCTAATGGCGTGCAGGAGCTTTTTGAGCGATACGAGGTGGACGTTTATGTTGCCGGACACACCCATAGGTATCGCATTTGCTGCCCTATCAATTTTCAATTTGCTCTTTTCCTTCTTTGCCTTGTCCACATTGCCCTCACAGCGTCGGGCCTTTTGCGATTCGGCGGTCTAGCTACTCTCGATCCATGCCCGGCAACTTGAATGGTTCCAGCTACCACAATCTCAACGGCACCGTCCTCGTCGTGGTACGTTCTTTCTTCCCGCCAACAGGGTAGTGCCGGCCTTTCTCACTGCCGTCTTTCATTCTTCTTGCCGTGTTTCGATTCCAGGCTGGTGGAACTGGTTGCGAGGAGATGCACGACGTGGGTGCCCCCGACCCTGCCACCTTTCGCATGTCTTCACTGCATACAGAAGTCTTTGCGACCGACCGGGTGGCGGCTGGCGTTCTCATGGTGAACAGCACATATCTCAACTTCCGCCTTCTCAGTGGCTACAATCACGCCGAGGTCTTGGATGAGTTCACGCTCACTCGCTCGTCATAGCCACGCACACCTTCCTAATTCTGGTCCTCGTCATCAAGAGTGCTTGGAGAGCGCTTTGGCACCTGGGTCAAGGATTGCCAATGAATTGATTATGTAAACGATCTTGCACGCTCAACGTGCTAACACAGCCGGCTGCCTCATGCCACATGGCTTGAGGCGGTAACCGATGATTGCACTGCCCATCTTGTGCAAAGCAGAGCCGCCAAAGTTGAAATACACAGAATGGCATTGGTAAGGGGGCGAGGGACACTGAATTTAACATGCACAGTCACTCTTGGCTCCTGGACCTACAAGTCCGCGGAAACACGAATGGAAGCAAAAGCGCAAAGGGTCAGACTTTGGGCAAAGAAGGTTTCGAGTGGCCTGATGGAGGCTCAGATTGACGGCACATGCAACCAGGGCACTAATGCATATCATGCATGCGTTCGAAGAGCTCGAGCTAGTCTACATACCGGTGGTCCGTGTGTCGGTTTGGTGTAAGGAAATTTTGGCATCTCCCGGTTGGCTGGCTTTGGTAAGCGTAGGGGTGGCCGATACCGAGCTGGCACGCGAGCCGGCCGTTGAGCCGGGCCGCAGCTGCTCACAGACCCTAGAGAAGTAGAGCGTCTCGATTTGAGATACAACAGCCATCCGAGCAACTGTACTTCAGGAGTGTCACCTTCCGATCATGCAACCAAAAACAGTATGTGCTTACAGCT